TCTCATGCCTGTCTTCAGCCCTTTACCTTCTCTGGACACAGCAAACATAGTGTAGGTACAGAGGACCTACCCAGGGGGTGATGTGAGGCAACAATCTAGCCAGAAAGAACACAACCGAATGCCAGCTGTATTTATTTTCCTGGGCTGTCCTACACAGTGCCCAGAGCCGGGTGGTTGAAACAACATGGAAGGATTCACTGTTATTTCTGGAGGCTTGGCATGCAGGACCATGTTCTCCTTGAAGTCCCTAGAGGAGAACCGTCCCTCCGTCCATCAGCGTCAGCGGATGGCAGCAGTATCACATAATCTCTTCCCTGTCTGTGTGTGTCTAGACGTCCTCAGATTTCTTTCAGTATAAAGACCCACTAAATGGATTCGAGATCCACCTTAATTTTGTATCATTTCATTCTAACTTGATTACGACTGTAAAGACCCTATTTTCAAATACAGCTACATTCACCGATAGGAAGACAAGGTGTTTTTTTAGGGGACACAATTCAGCCCATAGTAGTACCATTTTCAGAGTGTTTTCTCTTGCTCCCCAGCCACGTAAACAGTGAATTGGCAAAGTGTGTTTCTGCACATGTCCAGTACCTGATGTGGACCCCTGGGCTGTGCGCAGACAACACTGTAGTCTTTCCCATTGTTACAAGTATGATATTCCTTTCTTCTACACCATTAAGTTAGTTGTGTGTGGTTTTTTGTTTTGTTTTGTTTTTGTCTTTTGGAGACAGGATCTCCCTGTAGCCCCAGCTGACCTGGAACTCACTATGTAGACCAGGCCGGCCTTGAACTCACAGAGATCTGCCTGCCTCTGCCTCCCAAGTGCTGGGATTAAAGGCATGCGCCACCGCTAGTTGTTCATTTTTTATGCTCTTAATGGACTGTTTCTACTGTTATGGAATAAGAGCGAAAGCTCCCAAGGCCAACAGAGGCTCCTCAGGGTCTGGAAATGGAACAAGAGGACAGCTTTTGGCATTGAACAGAACAGCTGAAGATTCTGGATGGTTCTATACAAGGTCATCAGCACTGGGCTGAGATGAAAGCAAATTCCGTGAAGATGCTCGTGGTGGTAACCTTCAGACAGTGGGGACCAACGGGGGTCACTTCGGCATCTCCTAGCTGTTCTGAACAGCCCCAGATCTCATGGGCAAAGCATGATATGCACACTGCTGAAATTGCAATACCCCCTTAGTAGATGCACTTTCCCAAGAGTGTAAATAAGAAAATTAGACCTGTTCCAGTTCCTGGACACTCTCTGCTTCCTGGAAGTTTGGGAAAACATTGTGTATCCAGAGGCAATGTGGGCTGCGTGAGCGTCAGCCCTGTGGAGCTTTTTCCTTCATTCTGTTTTTCCTTCTGCAGATGTTTGTGGGGAAATGTGGCTTTCATTCCTTACAGAACCATCTCCCTGGAGTTCATTCTACTATCAAAGTCATAATCTTCTATGGAAAGCCTTCTGGTCATCTTGACTACAAGTAGAGTGTTAAGAGTCACAGATGGGGAACATTGTGATCTTATCATGTGCCATGTGTGAAGGAAGGTGGCCTCTGGTTGGAGGCAACGACACAGACACAGGTCAATTTCAGAAGCCTTTTGGAAATGGTGTTTATCATTCATGACTACCAGCATCCAGTTTAATTCTTTCAAGAAAAGCAGAGGCCCTCAAAGGCAGCAAACTGATTTCATTTTCTTCTCCGGCATTTCCATAGAAGTAGATGTTGAGCAAAGCTGCAAATGCCCGTGAGCCCTTGCAAGTCTAAACAGGACGCTCCTCACAGTTGCTGGTGTAGTGAGTACAAGTCTTGTTCTCAACCTGTTGCTGCTTGCCTGTTCTGGCTAAGGCCTGCAGTTCCCCCTTGATGCCAGAACTACTTCAGGAAATGTGGAAGATGTGTTCCTGGGAGCCCCGGTGGCAGTGTTGGTAATCCTGTCATGAATCTGCCGTGTGGATCTCTGCCAGGGCGTCTTCCTCTGGCCCCTGTCAGGAGTGGAATTCAGCAGAGGGTTGAGCCCAGGAATGTCAGGGAAGAGTCAGAGATGCCGAGGTCCTTCCTTCTTCCCTCCCATCTCCAGATGCTTAAGACTGGCCAGCTAGAGAATAACTCCAGTGGGATCGCTGGGAAACAGCCCATGTTCCTGGTTGCCAAACTTGGCCTGTACAATACAGTAACACAGTTTTCTGAATGAGATCCATGTTGTCAACATCTAGACCTAATAGTGAGGACCACCCAGAGTAAGCCCGCAGTTCATAGAACAATACGGCCCATTTACTGACAGGCGCCTTGTGGTTGAAACGTTAGAAAGAACTTGGATTGCACTTGGCATTGACAGTCTCTGGTTTTCTCATTCTATTAAAATTGTCCAAATAAATTTAGCATGTGAGAAGGAGAGAAACATTAGCACTGAGTAACAAGAATGCAGTGACACTGAGGCAGTTAATTTGGTCAACACACTCTTTCTTCTGTGTTTCAGTGGGGTAGGGAGAGCCTCTGTCCTTTATCTGGAACAGGTCCAGGCTGACAGAGTGAGCATATAGAGCCTCACGGCTCCAGCAGCTCTGATGGTAGTCATGGTATGCTACGTCAGCTAAGGGTGACCTGTAGGCCCTGCTAGAAAGCTACTGTGGAACACCTGGATGAAGGCAGGCTGTTGGTATCTAAGAAGCCCATGGGTGCCCAGCTAAACCCCTAGGAACAGATCTTTCTAGCAAGTTAGAGAACTCATAGTAGGGAAGAGCTCAAGTTCAAATCCCTGGTTGGTCCCACCAGCTCATTCATCACCTTGGCTGTAGCCTTTATTGACTTTTACCTTATCAGCTGAAGCATTTAGGACCTGGCAGATAATTGAGTATTGTGTCAGCCATTGGGTCAGTGTAAGTAAATTTACACAGGCATGCCATGATGGAAGCCCTGTTACTGGGCTGCACATGTGATGCTAAAGCAGGTATGAGCATGATGATTTGACCCTGGCCCTTCTGGCCTTGAGGGCCCACTCAGGATGTAACATTTCGGCTGTGTTGCACTGACAAGGGTTTGATGATCTCCGAGTGTTTTCAATCTAGGCCACATGATGCTCTTAGCTGTTTCCAGCATTGCTTTTTACATCTTAGCAGCAGGAGGACTAGAGAGGTTCTGAACCCAAGTGCTCTCCTGCTCAGGCTTCAACCCAAGAAGACAGCCCATGATGAAGATGTTTCCTATTCTTATATCCTGTTTGCCAGGCGATGCCCCAGGGTTCTCCCAGTATGAACGTACTTTCTCTTCCAACTTCCCAATAAGATTGGTACTAATTGTACCTCATTTCATTCATTCATTCGTTCATTCATTCATTCAGTCAGTCATTCGATCATTCTTGGTTCTGGGGTCCCTATAGCCCAGGTTGGTCTCAAACTTGCTTTGTAGCCAAGACTGGCCTTGAACTCCTGATCCCCCTGCCTCTACCTCCCAAGTGCTGAGATAGGTATGCGCTCCCATGCCCAACTTGATTCCATTTTTTTAGATGAAGCGATCAAAACTCCCAAGAGGTAGTAAGCCACTGGAAGTCAAGCAAAGGTGTCAAAGCTGATTTCAGAAACTGGAGTCCTGTTAGCTCCTGTGGCTAGGAGCCACTGTGGGGTCAACAGATAGCTGAAGCCCTGGGTCTCCTCCATGAGTGCTCAAGTGCCTCTGTGCAGCCAGACTCTTTCACTGGCACCTGATCTACCTCTGTGGAAGAACCACTGGGTGCTGAACCCTTGACTTGCCCTGTAGAAGAGCAGCCAAGTGACTGGCAGAGGTCAGCACACCAGGGCACTTCCAGAAGCATGAAGGAAGCTTGGGGGCAGCAGCAAAAAGAGAATAAGTAACGAGGTGGGGGGACTTCTGGACTAGCTCTTGAAGATCCAGTAACAGCTCACCCAGTGTGCCTAAGCGGGATATCACAGGGAGGAGAACCAGCAGGTGAAGATGCAGGTATAAAGCAGGTTTTTTGAAAGGTGGAGTACTACACGTATTTCAGTATGGTTACATGGTAAGACACATGGGGAAATCCTGTGCCCCTGAGACAGGAGAGATGGAGCCAGCAGTGGCTCAGATCTGCCATGCCAGGGAACCAGACATTATCCCAGGGCTGTGGGGAGCTTAATGTCATAGTTTCAAAACAAGGTTAAAATCCCTAAATTCTGATGCATCCGGTGGTGCTATTTTCCCTACTTTTAACGTTGTGATAATGAAGGAAATTACCAAAGTAAATAAGCTCCATATTTGATCTATGTTGACCTTGTGCCAGGAAGAACGTTTGGTTAATTTCTTCCCCTCATCTCTCCATTTTTTTCATCAGCAACTCCCTTTGGCAAAAGTTATTCTCAGATGCCAGAATAAGTACTTTTGAGGGGTTTTGTTTTTGTTTTTAATGTTTTTCTAAGTGGCTTTGATTGCATAAGAGCATCGTGTAGAACTGTTTCCAGTAGATTCTTTATAGCAGGGATGGTGGCTAAGACTGATTATGTAATTGTTCCCTCAGTCTATTCTCAGAACCTAACATGTTGCCAGAATATGGAAAACTAACGATGGTAATGACATCTGAGCGCTTTCCTGCTCACGGTTCTGGGCACTGCTGTTCTTGCATTGTTTACTGCAAGGCAGAAATCAGTAGTTTCAATCTGGCATGACCGTTCACCCAGCACTGGCTACAAGACTCAGTGCTGTCTGCTCTGACTTGCATGCACAGCCCACAGCCAGCAGCTCTCACCGGATAAAGGATGCACGTATGGCTGGTCTTGCACGTGTTAATATTTGGGTGAGGAGAGGCAGCATACTTCTGCTGTGCTGAGGCTGCGTTTTGCAAAGAGAGCAGAATACCATCTGTCGGAGGAGGTGGCGGGAGTATGCAAATACTGCTGTGAATTCCATGAATGCTTAATTGCTATAGAACTTCTTTTAAGTTTTTTGATTTTGAGTCTTTGCATTTAGTTTGTTGTTTTGTTTTTTGTTTGTTTTTTGTTTGTTTTTACTTTTTAGAATAGTCCTTATCAGTGGCAGAAGATCCTTCTGTAGTATATTTTCCGTGCTGCCGTATCGAGACAGTACCCACGCCGGGTATGTATATGCATGCGTGCTTTATAGTTCTCTGGGTGAAAAGTTCAGGTGCCAATGTGCATAATGTGACATACTTTTCTCTGTTCATGAATTTGCCTCAATTTGATTTTACAAATTCAGTATCTGATTTTACAAATTCAGTATCTAATTTTAAAGGGGGGAAGAAACGATGCTCCACTTTCTTTTCAGCCAGAAAGCTTCCTTGGGGGTGTGTGTGTGTGTATGTGTGTGTGTGTGTGTGTGTGTGTGTGT